CACCTTGTAAAAAAAAAAAAAAAAAAAAAAAAAAGGAGAGAAAAAAGGTCATGTCCATTATACTTTCTCATTTCTGTGCTAGGAGTACCCTCTCAAAGGAATTAGTATGAAGACTTTTATGTTATGTTATAATTGAGATATAGCCCATAAAATGTCCATGCAACTGGCAAAATCTGAATGTTTAATGCATGAGAAACTTAAGTACAGTTTCCTGATACGCAAAATCCTGTCACATTTTATACAAAAAAGAAATAGTTGAACTGGTTATTTTTTCAAATAAAACAAAACAGTTCTATGTTCACTTTCATTATTGAGCATTGTTAGTCCAATGATCTTTTCTACTCAATATAATTTCCATGGTTCAAAGTTTCCTCATAACAAATGATACTAAAAACATAGATACAGTTCAAAAGAAGTTGAAGTCTATGAAAACAAGAATATAATATCTCAAATATATAAGAAGCAATCAAACAGCAAAATAAGAAGAAATATTCTGGGAACTTTAATTTCAGTTATTTAATATATACTTTTAAAATTTTATCAATAAGTCATTTTCACATGTCATCCTTTAAGTCCTATAATCATAATTTATTGATATGAGTTTTGTTCTCAATGAGTATTGATGTCCCACAGAAAATTCCAGAAGGACTTGACAATAAGAACATTAGATGGGAGAAACCATGTAAAAAGACTTCCTCAGAAACTTATTTCTGAATTTCACTCAAAACCTCTGTGGGCCCATGGCTTTTTTTATAATGGAAAATAGATATGGAAAGCTATTAAATCCTAAATCCTTTCTATAACAAGTTTCTTATTAAAACCTCTGTTAATTTTCTCATATTAATTACAAATTCAAAACACTTAACCAAGTTAAATATATCTTTTAAAATATTAGTTACACCACATGTTTCTGTCTTCCTTTGAGCCACAGTTTTTATATTCATAATGGAGATTTCGTTCTACTTAGTGGTTTTCCACCTTTAATAAAAGTGCTTCAGAGAGCCTACAAAGGTCAAGGTTCTCACTGCTAAAATACACTCAGCTGGTACCTAGGCTGAACCTCAGACCATCCGGAAGGGGTCCCCATGGTAGTGATCAGTGCAACGGCCAAGCTCATGCAATGCTTAGACTATCAATTCTAGTTATCCTTTAAAAATTATGAGTATCCTTATAGCAAGAGAGTTTATTTATAGTAAGTGTTGGTGAAATACTGCTTTGACATCATGGGTGTGTGCTATCCTGTCACATTGCCATCTGCATGTTTAGATCTAAACATATTATCACCATACAACTCAAGCTCATTCTAGCTGACAGGAGAAGGACTCCATCTGGCCTGAACAATATAACTTTAATCAGTGACAATGATAATAATTATTAAAAACTTACTGGAGTTCCTTTGTACCAAATTAATAAGCTGTAGATTGATTTAGACCAGTGGAAATTATAAATGATTGTGAGGCAGCATGAGAAGCAGAGAAAAGTCCTGGAGAAGAAACTTTGTATGAGAAAGCAGCAGGAGTACATCTGTAGATATGTGAGACTCTTTTAGATCGACCCACTAAGTGGTCTGTTATTTAAAGATATCTGAAGCAGAGAATGAGCTACCATTTGATCTATTACTTCTTTAATTGTGTTTGGAGCTAATGAAATATTTACTGTTAATCTTCATGGCCAGAATCCGATCTAGTTCAATGGTTAAAAACAGAAGGAAGAAAACAAAAATGTGAATATAATTAGCATTAATAAGAGATGTTGAAGATTCTACTACCTTTTGGTTAGTTTGAAATTTTATTTATTCTTAAAGTCTCAGTTACCACCCTGAGATGTGCTTCTAGACTCAGTTATATTATACATATGGATATTTTTGTATTTGTTCAAAATACCTTTAAATGTTAAAAAGTGGAATATCACTAGAAATACTGTGTATGGCTCTTATGCTATAAGGGCAAGGCTCACCTACTTTTAAAGAAGTTATATAGTACTCACACATAAAAAAAATGTTTCAATAATTTAATCTTGACTACCTACTTGTTATTGTTAGATTTTGTTTGGTGGTTGTGCTGGATAGCTTTAGTGTCAACTTGACACACCTGGGTTGAGGGAACCTCAATTGGGGAATTTCCTTCATTGGACTGGCCTGTGGCCATGTCCATGGGGCACCTTCTTGATTGTTGAGTGATGTGGGAGGGCCCTGCCCACTGTGGGTGGTACCATCCCTGGGCAGGTGGCCTGTGTTGCATAAGAAAGCAGGCTGAGCAGGGGCCAAGGGAGCAAGTCAGTAAGCAGCATTCCTCCATGGCCTGTACTCCAGCTCCTGCCTCAGGTTCCTGCCCTGAGTTCCTACCTTGGGCTCCCTAATGAACTGTCACCCGAGAGGTGTAAGCTGAATAAAGCCTTTCCTCCCCAAGTTGATAGTGGTCAGCGCTTTGTCACAGCAATGGAGAAACAAACTAGGACAGCGGTTTAAATTCTCTTCATCTGCATTTAAGCAGAAACATCTATTATCAATGCCACCAGCTGCTGCTGCTCCAGGACCACATCCTCTATACACGTGGAGAAGCTTGAAGAGTTGGTTCCCATACATTTAAGATTGTGTGGCCCACATATTAGAGAATTCTATCAATACCAATGCCCTCGTGGGGCTTGAATGGTGTGTTTCCACAGATGGAGGCTCAGCTTGCCTTGATTTCCTGTCTCTGTGGTTTGATACAGAATCTGCCATAAAACAAGCTCCATTGTAGTATTCAAAGAAGCAATACTAACATTATTTCCATGGAGTGGATGCAATAAATTCATTGTCAAGATATGTGACCAAAGTCTCTGCCAAGAATTATTTTGTAATGAAACATTTACTACTTTCTTACATGTCCTCCGATTTGATTCTTGCAAACACCTGGACAGTGTGTTGTGGAGAATTGTTAAATGCTTTAGAATATGTTTTAAGGTTGGATGTTGTGGCATACACCCATAAATCCCAGTACTTAGGAGGTACAGTAGGATGAGAAGTTCAAGGTTATCCTTGGCTACATTGTGAGTTCAGGACCAGCCTGAACTGTGTAAGACCCTGTCTCAAAAAGCCCAAAACAACCAAAACAAAAAAAGAACACCCCCCCAAATTTTTAGACTTTAGATTCCACCATTTCCATTGCACGAAACTAACAAGAAGATAATGTGCTAAAGGGTTTCCAAAATAATTTTGGTTAACCATGGAGAAAAATGGGAAAAAAAAATTCTTCTGTGGTGGTTTGAATGAGAACGTTCCCTATAGGCTTCAAGTATTTGGACATAGCTGGTGGTGCTATTCTGGGAGGTCTTAGAATGTGCGGCCTTGCTGGAGGATTCAAGTCACTGGTGGAAGATGTTGAGGGTTCTTAGGCCTTGTCAGAGTTTCATTTGCCCTCTGCATCCTGTGCTTGCTTGAAGATGTGAGCATGCCTCCTTCTTCTCAGTCTACCTCCTGACACCACACCTCCCCTCCATGATGGAGGTCTCTGATCCCTCTGATACCCTAAACTAAATAAACTCTTCTTCCCTCTATAAGTTCCCTTGGTTATGTATTTTACCACAGCAACACAAAGTTAACTACTAGACTTTCCTACCAGCTTTTCTTCTTATCTGCCATTCACCTATTTATACTTGTTACATAAGTGCTTTCTTGCTCTATATATTAGATACTATATTAGGTATTGAAGATAAAATATTGAGTAGAAACAGACAGGACTATCACCTTCGTGGAGTTTAAAATTAACTCAGGTTTATTTTGATGGGAATAGGCTTTGCCTGCACTACCTAGTGTTTTCCTTCTATGGTTTAACAGGAAAATTCAGTACATTTAAATTCTTGAGTCCTAACCTAGAGAAGAGTGAGACACAGTCATGTGAGCAAGTTCATGTACTGCCTGGTGGTTTGGAATTCTGCTACATTCCTTACATAATGATTTATCCTCACAATCTCTAAAGGGGATCACCCAGGAGCATTTCAGTGAGACGAAAGGTATGCACTCTGAAAGTTACCGATTTGTCTCCCAAAGAAATGCCATATCTTGCTGGGGGCTCATTTCCTCCCCTCTGCTCTCAAATGTACAGTATTTTCAGTGGTCCTTATTTCAGTGTAAAAACATCATATATATGTTTGTGTGTGTTATAGTAATAATGATAATGATAATAATAATGTACATATAGTGATTTATTATTGGTTTTGTACAATATTCCTAGAAGTATGTTTTTCAGATAAGGACTATAAAGAGATAACTCTGTGAGATACTAAAATGTACAAGTAAATAGAGTATTTCATGAATTTGCCCAAATCTACCCAAATCTGTCTATACTTGTCTCGGCCATTTACACAATTATTTTCCATTGTTTATTTTAACAATTTCTCTAAAGATAGGTGAAAAACATACCACCCTTTCACATATATTGATAAAACTGACATTTTCTAATGGCATAGTGATAGCAGTTCCTTCATATTTTCTGTCCTTTTAATCAACCAAAGGCATAAAGTAAAAATAAAACAAATTTCTAACTATTTTTATTTCTTTAGTCACTATATTAATCTTTTAAAATAAGTGCCGATCATACTACACCAGCATTATTTTAATTCACAGGCCATCCATCTGCTTTGATGATGCATCATTCATCAAGGAAGCTCACAAACGTGACCAAGGAAGTTTATCTTTTATGCTTGCCCAAAAGATAATAAGAAAAATGTAGCTTTTGCATTCCTTTGCGGAGAACTAGAGTCCTTGAACAGCTTTTGTATTTTAAGAGTCATCAATTCATGCTGGGAGTTTAGCTTGTTTGTGTG